TGGTAGGGGGATGGAGGGAGCCTGCCCTGAGGTGTGCTCCAGGAGGCTGGACAGCAGTTCTCAGCATCCTGGGGAGCGGGAGGCCACTGGATCTCTAAGCCTCTGCTTAGCTGTGGATTGCCCAATTCAGAGTCTGCCACAAACCAGTGGGTCGAAGGCCCTTACAGATGTTGTCAAGCTGTTATGCTGATGAATGGCTTCAGAGCTGTGTGAGGTGCCCCAGAAGAGCGGTCCCCAGGGAGAAATGCATACTGTTAGTGCACTTTTTAAGGCAGCTTTGAACCAGGATTAAGTCTCCCAGGGCCACATTTGTTCAGGTAATCACCTTGAACAAACTTACCCAGTTTGTCAATATAAACATTACACATATGCAGATGTGGTTGGCTCAACCCCCTCCAGCCCCTTGATTATTCACACCTGCCCCCTCTGTCTGGTCTCCTCTTCTCCTCCTTCCCCTCCACCCATCTCTGTCTCCACCTCCAACATAAGAAGTGAGCGCTTGTGTGCCCATAGGAAGAGTCTTCTAGTCTCTGGGCCTCAGTTCTTTTGGTCTAGAGAGATGATCAGATGCTAAAATTCAGTCAATGTGGTCATCCCTTGTTTCTCCTGACCTGGAATCGTCACATGGACCCTTTCTCTAGGGATCTGGTCAGAGAATGGGAAGTTCCTCAGAAACCAGCTCCTCTCCATCACCTTCAGCCACGTGGCTGCTGGGAAAAGCAGGCTGGGCAACTCCTTCCCATGGGGCTATAATGGTGGGAGGTGCACCAGATGAAGCACACTAGTATGAAAGCACATCCTAGGAACCTTGCAAGAGGCCAGCTTTGGTCAGCTATGAAAACTCTATGTAGAGCACCAAGGTAAGGCAAACTATCCACTACCCTGCTCTCTGAAGAAGCTGCAGTGTGCTGTTTGTTGGGGAACAATATATGCATGAATGAAAGACTGAGGTTAGAATCCCGGTACTGAATCTGCATCTGTTTAAGCTGCCTCTCACATGCCCATCAGCCAGTCACCAGGCGAGCTGAAATAATTTAGCCAAGCACTAAAAGACTTTTCTAGAACATGGGACGACTAGGATCAGGAATCTCCCTTATGTTGTTTATGACTGTAATCGTTTTAAGAAAAAGAACAAATCTAATACTACCTCTACCTTATCAGAGAGGGGAATTAATACAAAAAAAAGCTCACAAACCTGGAATACTTTCCTCTGGATCAAAAGACCAATGGCAAAGTCCTTTCACCTTCCCATAGACCTTCATAAATTCCTTATTCCCCACAATCTCCAGCATTTCCTCTTCCCCTTTTCCTTGCCAGCTGAATAACCAACCACTGGAAACAGAACCTACAATTATTTTCTCCCCCATGCCCTTCGATTGCTTTCATTTGGGGCTCTGTGACCCCTATCTTGGGTAGCTGCTAGTTTTCCCTCTCAGCTGTTTCCTAAAGGGGGAGCCAGCAGAACAAGTACCAATTGGGACCCTGGTTCCCCTGATCTGATGGCCAGCTGTACAGGACACCAGCAGCAGATGGACAAGGACAGTCTTCAGGCTGCCTGAGCTGGGGTGCCCCTAGGATTGTGACACGTCCAAGCAGGACAGGAAGCCAGGCAAACAGGTGGGTGAGCTTGATTTTCAAGAGTGATTGATGCCAGCTGGCCAGAGGGCCACTTGCTTAGCAGGGTCCAATCTAGGACATCCCCAAGTGGGTCGCAACCCTCCTTTGATTTTTGGACCTATTTTTATGCCCCATCTTAGAGGTTACCAGGCCATCCACATCCCACAAACATTGGGAATGCTACCTAGGATCTTCAAATTGCCTGGGTGTCAACAAGTTCAAAGAAGCTTTTGGCCTTCAATTCTACAAAGCCTGGCCCTTTCGGGGGAACCAAGGCCTGGGTAGCACCTGCTCAGTTCAGTTTCATAGGTCAATTGGGTTCTGCTTGCAGAGGAAGCCAGGCAGCCCCACCCTCACCTGGGAAGCATCCTCTAACCCTGACTCACCAGGAGCTTGGGCCTAGCTGGGACAGGAAGGAAAGTAGAGGGTGGGGCTGCTCTGGAGCTCTACCATGGGAGGACCACCCCTTCTGCCTCCAGCTAGCTAGGCCTGGTCCTTCCCTGACCAGACAAGAGAGTAAGGGAACTGGGTGAGGACTCTTGCTCCTCAAGGCCTGCAGGAAGACAAGAGGCAAATGGGGGAGTGGGGAGCAGGAGAGTCATATGTTTCCACTCTCAAAGAACTTCTATTTAAATCCTTATACCCCTCTTTACCTGGTGGATACTTTTGGCTAACTTAAACACCGTGGAGGGTTTCAGTTCCCTCAGTCAAATATAAAGCAAGTCATTTCCTTACCTGCCACCTTCACAGGGCATCTTCTGCAGCTCAGAGTGCCAGGTGGGGTCCTGGTGAAGGATACCATACCACACAGTGTACTAAGCAGTTACCAGCCACAGCACTCATGGCAGGGAACGAGCTTTCTGGGCTTGGGTAGACTGCCCAGACTTTCCTTGGTCTCCTGCTAATTTTTCTTTATATCCCCACATCTTAATTCCAGGATCCTAGCCTCCATCCCTGGCCCACCCCCATCACACTGGGGCAAAGGCAACTGACACCCTGGGCCAGATTAGGCGACTGCTAAGGGACACTCTACTGGGGAAGCATAGGTAAGGCTCACCTGACCTGAGGTCAGGCAGAGACCCCAATCTGCTGAGAGCTGGCCCTGGTCAGAGACCCTCGGCCCAGGCTGGGCCCCACTCTGGGCAAGCAGTCAAATAGCAGAGGCCTGATCTGATCCAAGCACTTCCTTTGGTTAATGAGAAACCAAATAAACAGACTCTGCCCCAGCTGGCTCCAGCAGCACCCCAGGCTGGCCCAGCCCTTTTCTAGCCCAGCCTCTTTTCCCTCCTCTGGCAAGTCCCACAGTCTCAAGGCCCTCCTCCCCCTTCCTTCTCTATGTGCTCCCCACTTCCCCGGGAGTTGGGCTGTTGTGTGCCTGCTCCACTAGGCTTCCTGCTCTGGATCCCTTCCTCACCCTCCTCTTCCTTCCGCCTCCTCCTTTCCTCTATCAACTTGTTACCCAATTTTAGCTGGTGGGATCTCACTTGTCCTCCTCCCCTAGTATGTCTTAGCCAGTGCCAGAGGCAGTCCCCTGACAAGGCCTGCAGGCTGCTCTGGGCCCTGCCAGTCTCCACCTCTTGTCAAAGGATGGAGGCCAAACCCTGTTTAGGGCCCTTACCACACTCTCTGACCTGAACAGGTTGGTTACTCATCTGCAAGTGGAAGGGAGCCCAAGCATTCAGGGCTGCTCTAGCTTCAGGGCCTCCACTGCCAGCCACAAGCCATCAAGTACAACATGGTGGCACCTCTGATGTGGCCCCATTGTAAAGACAGGAAAAGACTTGTTTTGGCTGAGAGGTGAAATGGGCAGTCTGAAGTCACCCTAGTGCCCAGTGGGCCATCTTCTGACATTGTTTCTCTCCAGCTCCAGGGACAGGACAGGGTTGGAACCTGCCAGCAGGTTCCACATTTAGCCCCAACCAGCTGGTGACAGTACCCGCAGACACACCCGGGTTCCCCATGGGAACACCCCCTCCCCATCAACCCTTTCTGGCTGAGCCTGGTGCCAGACTGGGCAGATGCCTATGGCCTGTGCCACAGAGGTGACAGGATAGACAGGGTGGAGGGATGGACTCAGGTACCAAGACAGAAGAACAAGGAGGCAGAGACACTCAAGTGGTGGGAAGCAGCAAGAAGAGCATGGGCACTTGAAACACCTTGCTTCACAGGACAGCCACCTGCCCTGACCACCAGCGATTAGGCAAAGGAGATCTCTCACATGCAACTGCAGTCACACACACAGACACACTAGCACACCTCATTCCCCGACATCACGACACTAGTTCACACTCATTTCTCCATGTGGTTAATTTTTTTTTTTAGTTCTCATTTTTTTCTAAGAAAAAAGCAACAAGAAAATAATTCAGAGTTTATACAAAACATCTTTACATTATTTCTTCCAAAAAGACTAGTATTTACACAAATGGCAACAGAAACAAAAAACAAAAATCCCTTCCGACTGCCACCTGGAAGGGGCTGGCTGTTTTGCTCCCTCTCCCACCTGGCACTGGGGTGGGCAGCTGGCCAGGAGGCAGTGTGGAGGTGGGTGGTGGAAGGCCCAGCTCCTTCCATGGCAGCCCTGGGAGTGCCTGCAAGGCGCAATTGAGTGGCAGTCTATTAGCAGCCGTGCTAGCAAGGAGCTGGGGTCAAAGTGCACTGCAGACTGGCCCAGCCCCAAGCAGCCTCTTCCTCTTTCCAGGCCCCAGCTCAAAAACTAGGGGGGGTGGTGGGAGCCAAATTCAGTGAGTGGGTGTGTGTGCTTTCTCGTACTAGAGCCCAGAGAAGGAGTCGGCCACCTGGCCTTACACCCGCTTAGATCTCCACCTTGGACCTCTGTTTCCCCACAAAACTAAAGATGCCGAAGGTGAGGAGAGAACAGGGTGGTGGGGGGAAACTCCCAGCTCTGCAGGGCAAATAGCCACCTGGGCACCTCACCTCCCTCCACCCCCCATGAGGTCATCTGCCTGCAGCAGCTCTCCTGTTCCCCAGGCAACAGCCAATTAAGACATTAATTACCGTGAGAGTGAAGGAGGCAGGAGATGCCCAAGAATCCCACAAGGAAGGGATTTTTTTTTTGGTAGAAGGGTGGTAGTACTACCCCACTGCTAGGAACAGCATTGTATTACGAGGGTCAGGAAAGGAGGGTGGGACACCTTGCCCAGTGGCTCTCTCCTCTTCCCTCACAGGCAGAAACAGCCCTGGTGTGCCCTCCCCCACTCCCCTGAAATACTGAGGAGTCTATAAAAGAAATGCAATCCTATGCTTCCTGGCTGGCCACATCCTGCCCCGGGCCCTCTTACACTGGGTCATGCCAGGCTCAGAAAACCTGGGGAGGGGCTGCCTTGTACATTTTTTCCATAAAACAGATGAAAATGAGTTGACAGCTAAAAAATGAACACAAAAGCATTAAAAACAGTGATGAGAGTGGACAAGCAGTCCTGGGAATGGGTAAAGGGGATGAGGAGGGGGCAGGGCCAGGGGGCGGTCTCCCTGCCTGCAGTCCATCAGTGTCCAACCCTGCCCTCCAAGAAAGGGCGCCCCCACAGAGCCCAGAGGCCTGGCCAGAGGGGGAAGGCACAAGAGCATGGGGATTGGGGGTACAAGCACCCCCCTCCGAAGCCCAGGGGGCAGGAAAAATGGGGGATTATAAAAGCCAAGAAACTACAAAACTAAATACAAAGGTGGGCACAGCTGGCAAGGGGAGGGGTGTGGGGGAGAAAAGAGAGGCCAGTCCAGGCCATGTGTCCTGTGGAGCCTGAGGCCATGTCAGACCTTCAGACCTTGTAGTAGATGTTCGCCGGGCTCTGAGGTGGCATCTCCTGGACGATGTAGACAGGATGCCCGTAGTCCCCACTCACCTTCTCATAGTGGGGGCAGTAGTTGTTCTCTGTAGTCCGTAAGGGGATGATGATGTCGCTGGGCTCAGTGCCTGCTGTACCACTACCCCCTTTGGGGCTGGCTAGGGTACTGAGCGAGAGGGCGGCCGCCCGCTGCTGAGTATGCTTGCGATGTCGCTTGCGTAGCTTGAGTAGTAGGACTGTCAGGAAGATGATGATGAGCAGGAAGATGACACAGCCAGCACCCACAGCTGCGAACAATGCTACCTTGGAGTTAAAGAAGCTGTCGGAGTCCCCGCTGCCACCACCACTTGCACCTGGGCCACTCTTCTCTTCCTGGTTCACAGTCTCTGAGGAAAGGGAACGGGATCAATTGTCAGTCAGCAGAAGATGACGCAGTCAACATAATGGCAGCAAGCAATACTGCAGCTGAAGAGACTATCTGTGTCCCTGCTGCCACCCACTTCCACCAGAGATATACAAGTCTCGGGGAGGGAAGGGCAGCAAGAACTTCTTCAGGTATGAGACAGACCAAGAGGGTGTCTGAGAAATGCCCTCTGCAGAATACCAATGTATACTTACCATGCTTGCCATCAGAGTCACCCGGGGATCCCCGACCAGGGGCCTGTGTGGCTGTCTTGACAGTGTTGTCTGACTCCTTGCTTGGCCGGCTGGTAGTCAGCTGCTCAGGAGTCACAGCATTTGGATCTGAGGGCAGAGAGAAGACATATGAGGGAGGACTGCCAGCATGGATGTGTTTGCCCTCAATTACCTTAGGTGGGTTCAGACTGGCCTGACTATTAGACCTCTGCCTCTCCAACCTTCTGACCACTCCCCCACTACCGACACACCCCCAACCAGCTGCCAGTACCAAAGGCCTAAGCAGTCACTCACCTTGCCCAACCTTCATAACAATCTTCATAGTGCGTGTACGGCACACACCTCCCTCCCGGTTCTCCAGCCCTTCCAGGCTCCCATTGGATGTTGCTGCAGAAAAAGGAAAAAGAAATCAGAAACTGAAGTTTTCAGTGTATCTTTTTTTTCTTTTTGGACAGTATCATCGAGAGAGAGAGAGCAAGAGAGAGAGAGAGAGAGAGAGAGAGAGAGAGAGCACCAAGAACAACCATTAAGAGTGGAGCATGTCAAACAGCTCCTACCTACTTACCCACCCCAAATCCTTCTCCTTTCCTCCCAATAGGAATTAACTCAGTCCTACTAGGCCCATGAGCCCCTCTGCTAAGGGCCAGGCCTTGGTCCTGGGATAGCACTAAGGTATACCTTCTCATCGGGAGATGATGCTCAGAACAAAACAAATGGAACTGGTATCACTACAGGGGCTTTCCTAGATAGGCAGGAATCCTAGATAAGTGTGAGGAGAACCAGGCTAAAGTCTCCATCTTATCCTATCAATTCCTTGTATGATATAAGGCAAGATGCCAATAAACCTCTATGGGGGGGGGCGTCAGAGGAAGAGGGCAGTGGCTAAAGATTGAGCCAGGGCCTCACACATGCTAGTCACACATTACCACTGAGCTATATCCTCAACCCTATTCACCTCTTGGGGCCCTAGCAACCCCCCCCAACAAAAGGCAGAACAGCTGGCTGATCTCAAAGGATTCTGCCAACTCTGCCATTCCCAAGAAAGAAAAAGAAAGCAACACGGCTAGGAAGTCTTTCCCATCAATGCCCTAGAGCTGAGGCAAGCTGCTGTGTGATGAATGTTGGGGCCAGAATTCCAAGGCCAGGCTTTCAGGAGGGCATGCAAGTCTTCAAAGAGGATCAGATCAGGCAGCACTGTAAATGAGAGCAGGTGGTATCACCGTACTACTCAGAAGCTGCCACTGCTAGCCCATGGGCAAGGAGGCTTCGGGAAGGCAGAACTAAGTCTAGTGAGAGAGCCAGAAATGGGTGGATGGGGGACTCACACGTAATGTAGTAATCGTGATACTTTTTGAACTCCAGGCCCATGTAGTTGGGGCTGAACTCCTGGAACTTAATGGTAAAGCGGATTTCCTGCTGTGGCTTGTTGCAAGTGACCAGTACATTGGGATCAAGCACAGTGCTGCAAGCCGCTGCCTGCTCTGGCCGCACCAGGTACAGCTTGTAGTACTCGTAGGGCCGCCCTGCTTCTGCTCGGGGGCAGATGATGTCCAGCTTGTCTCCAATCTTCGGGTAGATCACCAAGCCCTTCCCACTTAGGAACCTGCAGAGAAGAGAGAAAATGGTCAACAAGGTTGGGATCTCTGGCTATCCCCAAACCAGGGGTTATGACAGTGAAGGCCAGACCAGTCCTACTGGGTGGAGATATCAAATCAGCCTTCTGTCCTTCCTCTATCCTTAGGCTGGGGGGGGGGTGGCAGGGAGAGAATCATACTGCCAGCAGGGTGTGGAAGGGGTGGCCCATAGGCAAGGCTGCCAGGCTTTCAGTGCTTTGCAGGGTGGGGCAATGCCTGGCTAGGGGAGCCCTTTGTCCTAATGGGGCATTTCCGCAAGGGGGGGGGGCGTGGCCAAATGGGCCATGTACCAATGTGTCAGGCCCAGGCTGCCTGGAGGTGGTGCCCTGTTCCCCATACTTCCCAACACACTCACATTCCTTCAAAGGCTAC